TTGAAATATATCTTTTTTTGTAATCTTCTTGTTTATATATTTTATATTACTCTTATTCTCTTTTCTAATATATATATGTATATTATCACAGGCTCACCCTTCTCTATTTTTATGTTTACTACCGCTGACTGCCTCAAAAACGATCCCCCCGGTTTTTTTTATTATAAAATGTATTATGACTATTTTTAGACATAATACATTTTATAATAAAAAACTTGAATGATATATATATATATATATATATATATATATATATATTAGTTAACTACTTAAACAAGATGAAATGAACAAGTTCCAATATTTGCCTTGTGTCAACATTCTAAAGATTGTTGCTCTGTATTAATTGATAGTGAAACTACTGAAGATGAGGCTATTTCAAAAGAAGATGGCAGAGAGGTTGATGATGAAGTTACAGAGCTGAATATTCCAAACCAATCAGAAATTGGAACAAAGCATGAACTGGAAGATTCTAATAGGCCATGCACTTCTTCACAAAGCTGGTTAACAGAACTAAAGCAGGCATTTCCTGATACCAGTGAGGAAGATATAAAGGACGTTCAGTCAATTTCTACCTCAGTTGATGATGCAGCATGTCTCCTCCTTGAAACACAGGCAGAGAGTAAAATAGAAAGTCCATCATCTTTGGAAGAAGTAATTGCATCATTTGTGGCGAAAAATCATTTGCCAGGCGAAGAGTACATACTTATAGATCGAGAAGCATTTTGGATAGATGTTATTAAATTTTATAAAAGATCTCTTTCAAAACCAGAAATCTTGAAGAAAGAGCTTTGTGTACCATTCAAAAACGAGGAAGGCCTTGATGGTGGTGCCATGAAAATAGAGTTTTTTTCATTGCCACTTAGTGAATGTAAAGCTCGATTATTTGAAGGTGGTGAGTCAAATATGGTACCAATCAGAGATGTAACAAAAGGTATTTTGTTTCAGATTGCTGGAATAATTATAAGTCATGCATTAGTCAAGAGAAGCTCAATTGGCTTTCCATATCTTGCTCCACATGTTTACTCACACATGGTTGCTGAAACAGATGAAGAAACTATTTCCAAAATGAAGAAGCAGCACTTTCCACTGGATGCCTCCACCACATTGTTGCATGAATTTATGAATTGCTTGGAAACTTGTGAAAAAGATGATGATATACTTCAGCTATTAGAGAGAAATCCAAAATCTAAAGCATTTTGGCAAATTGCTAACTCATCACGATGGCCAAAGAGAAGATGATAAATATGAAAAGTAAAGATTTCCTTTTACAACATCTGATTGCTCATGAATTGCTGGTCTCAAGAAAGAATGAAATCAGCGAGTTCTGTATCGGGTTAGAATCTCTTGGTCTTTTAAAGTTAGTTCAAGCGAATAAGGAAATTTGTGAAATTTTATTCACTTCTAAAGAAATTTGCTTGCTCACTCCTGCTACCCTGATGGATATGATTACCAATGCAGAAAGTCAAAGCTTTGCGGAACAACAAGCATATGAGTGGTTTGAATGTTATGTTAATCAGGATGAAAATGATGATTTCCCAGGTGATTCCCGACTACGTGCACGTATGCAGTTTTGGACTGGATGGACGGTGGTTCCATTTAGTGGTTTAACAAAGAGATTGAAGGTAGCCTTGTTAGCAGATGATGATACAAAGAGTTTGCCAATGGCTTCGTCGTGCAAATTAGTCTTAAGAATTCCAACTGTTCACAGCTCAAAAAAACGATTTTTTGAAGCAATGAACATTGCACTAAAATTTGGTAGGGTTGGATTTCCTAACACTTGATTGACCAAAAACAGAAGATGTTTGTGTGAACAGTTCTGGGTACAATTGTTTTGTAGAAAACAATTTTATATTTTTTCTTATTTTAACTATGTAGTGATGGGACAATGCTTTTTGCAATGAAAATACTCTTTTAAGTTGTATGACTACATATTACAGTAAATAGTTATGTTTGAAAAAGTCCCCATTTTCAGTTAATGTTTTTTGTACTGAATTGTTTAAACTGAAACACTGAGGCCAGTTGCTCAAAGGTAGAATAGCACTATCCACTCAATCACAATATTTTTAAACATTTAAAAATCTCTTAAAAGAAAAATTATGATTTGCACTGAGCAATGAATGAAATAAAATACTGCTCTTAGAAGTGCAAAGTTAACATTATCATAATGAAAATATATCTTTTTCAACAGATAACTTTATCCAGGTTTTGTGCAACTGGCTCCAGACTATTAATGCATTGTATTGTTAATAAACAGTTACTTTCAAATGTTTGTCTGCTGTTTAAAATTAATGTCACAAAACTTAAATTTCTACAGCTAACATGTTTTGTTTAATTAAGATGATCAATTCTGTGTTTAACAGTTGGAATGATTATTGCCAGCTTGTGATTGGAGAATATTCTGAATAAAATTTATTGTGTTGAAATATATGTCTAGTCCATGTGATAATGCCAAAGGATCAACAGCATTCCGAAAACTTTCCAATTGCTGGTCATTTAATGGGCAGGCTGTAGGTGGGACTTCTACAGAGCTTTCACAAGATATTTCACCACTTTATGTTTGAGAAGGTAAAGGTCCCTCAAAATCTACACCATACATGTTTATGTTGGTTTGTTCGAACATTACATTGTGGTTGATATTAAGTTGACTCAAACCATACACCCACATATGATTTGGAGTCATATTGGATTCAGTTCGTAATGGGTGATTATCATAGCCATTTCTGAAAAGATCAAGATGCCAATTAATTCTAGGAACAAAAACATAATGTAAACAAAAATATGTAACTCATTATCCAGCTCCAAATGACCATTTTCCTCAAGATACCAAAAGACATAATAAAAAATAAATAAACAACCATGAAAGAGATCATGAACAACCATCAGAACATTTTTTGACAGTGTTTTTATTAGGTTGTAACTGTCGGCTTGTATGATAATTACCTCTGTTTCTCTTTCCTTGTTTTCGAAATGTTGGGTGAGGATCATATATTTTATATTCTTGGTCTTCGTCTTGTCTTATCGAAAGATAATGGTTCACTCCTAAAGCTGTTTCTATCATATCGTCTACAAATAGACTAGCGCAAGCATATCTGCCTGCAAATATATTAGAAATAAAGATTCCACGGTTTCTTGATGCTATCCAACGAAATGTAGAAGCAACAATTTTTTCTAGTTCTGTTTTTGGAGCAGTACTAGAAAGAAGATTGAGAAAATCCTTTTTATTATCAGAGCATGATTCTGTAGGTATTTCTTTACCTTGCTTTACCAATTTTAAGAAATCATGATTCTTCAGAGTCATATACTGACTGTTTAAGTCACTAATATATTTGTCTACTTGTTGATCGTAGTCTTTGCTCATATTTCTTGTATTTACTACTACACAAATACATATATTGAGACACCATATCCTTTTTCCCACCCAGCTTCAAAGTGTATTGATATTAGAAAAATTTGTATTACAATCATGTGAAAAATCATAACCGTGAATGAAAAAAAAGAAGCAAGATATTAGATAAATTTATTCATCTTCGTTATCGTTATCGTTATCAGATGAGTGCTCAACATCATTTACCAAGGGGCTTCTTCAACATCTAGTGATGTTGTAATGTGTTCTTTTTTGCACTCATTTCTGTATCTCTCGAAATCATCCTGAATACTTTTCTTCTTATCTGGTGTCATAAATTTTTTCCAGAATTTTGAAGCCATTTTTCTATAATAGTCTCGTGAACCAAATTCATGTTTTTTAACTTCTGGATGATTTTCCAACTCTTCTTTTATGTCGTCAGTCAAATATCTTTTACGAAATTTTCATCTCTATGCCACATACTTTGACAAAATAGCATATTATTTGTTATTTTGTCTTTTTTATCCGTTTTCTTTCCATTTTCATCTTTGGGAGCACTTCCCACTCGCTGTTCACTACGAGTGAGACGTTTTCCACTACTAGGTGCCGATATATTAGATTCAATAACCTCCAGTCTTGCCAAAATGGTATTAAGTAAAGGTATGATCTTTGCAGAATTAGCCTCTATTTCAGTTGTTGTTTTGATAACATTTTTCTGCAGCAATTCTTTGATAGCGTCTGTCAATTTATTACAGCTATCTTCTACTGTTTCTTTAGTAACTTTATTAAAAGAATCTATCACTTGCTTTTTCTGTGCTGATTTTGATTCCGCCATCTTAATACACAATAATATCTATAAGTTGTAATTATTTAACTTGCTGTGTTAGTAACGTAAGGGGTTCAAATTTTACAAAAATAATACTTATTAAATCGAATCTTTACTAGGCTGCGGGTTCTTATTGTCATATAAGAAGCATGCCTGTGAAAGAGGTTTGATAGGATTGTCTTTCAACCAAGTTTCTTGAGCATCCAATTCAGATAGAATATTAATAATTTTCTTGTCACTTTGAAGTTTTCGTAAAAGATATTTTTTGTATCCGCATGAAACTCGAATCCCAGGCACAAAAACATGAAATCCATACTTGTACTTTTTGCCATTCTCCTCAAGAACAGCTACCGGAGCAGGCTTAGCTATAGTAAACACATGAAGTAATATTTCATTATCTTTCTTAGCAGCTGATGCTGGAAAAATGAGATCACGACAAAGAAAGCTCACAATTTGATGAGCAATACGATGAGCGTGTCTATCTTCTAGTTTAACTTGTGGCTTAGTAACATAAAGATCATAGTCTATCATTAATCCAGAATTAGGTGATTCAAGAGTCCCTTGTTTTTCTGAGAAATGAGAAGTTAGTCCTGCCAATCTAACTGCTTCAAGGTGAGTTAAGAGAGTGTTAACAGAGTCGGGAGGGAATGCATAAGTTACACAGTAGCCTTGATCAATAATATTTGTGCGACTATCGTTTTTTCCAGTTATTTTTTCAGTCTGAGATGAATTTTTCAGAAACCTTGCCAGAAAACATAGAGAAAATGTTTACCCAATAACTCGTAAGCTAAATACTACATACGCCGACGATAATGCCCTATTAAAGATGTTATGAGACAAAGCGTTCTTTTTCAAACTGTAATAATACTGTATTTCACGTAACTAAACCGTGGTTACATAAATCTTAAATGGGTTGTCTTGAATAGATGATTCTTTTCACACTTTTTAGGTTATTTGGAGCGGAAGATGGCAAAGTGGTGCGGCAGCAACTGCTGGCGAAGAAGTTGAGCAAACAAATTCGTATTTGTCAAGTCTTGGCTCGACTACTAAAAATATGACGGCCTCCGGTGAGTATTATTTTCTTATCTGTATATCCACTCAGGTTTTTTGGTCGATTAAGTCCACGAACTAATGTGCACATTAATGGTTGTACGTATTAAGGACGAGAAGAATGCATTACTGAACATCTTCTGAGTTGGAACAAGCGAAAAATTTTAAACTTGGCAAAATCACTTGTTATTCGAATGAAAAAGGTTACACGTTGTATATGTCTTCAGTTAATTGTCAAAATTATACTAGTGTGAGTCCATGATTCTAATGTGTGCTACGTACGTGTATAATATGAAATGAATTTACAGTTCATAGTTGTGTATAGGTCTTGTTTGAACCCAATACGTTTACTTCACTAATATGATTATTTTTCACTGTTTTTCGTTATGTGTACTTGTATTTCGAAGACCGAAAGGAAACTTTCATCTGCCAGGGACGATTTTGTAAAGTTAAGAAGCGAACTTAATGTCCAGGATTCAGACTTGGACGACTCGATAATGCAGTGGAAAGAAGAAGTTCAACAATTTGCGAGAGGTATACCTCTGTTATAACATTGTTTACTTTCAAATATTTTTAGAAACATGGTTTAGTATTGAACAGTTCTGTACCTATGGTTGATTTTTATTCAAACATCATTTAAAACGAAACTATATGAAATAATTCTTGGCCTGGCTCAAATTTTTATATTTGGCAATTGTTATTATTAACAATTCATTTTACCCCCGGAAAATATATAGATATACAGTATTGTATGAAGTGCTTAGTAATTACGTACATAAATTAATATTTTTTATTAGCAGAACACCATAGCTTCCACACACACCGCAAGAACAAGGTTTATACTTTTACCAGTGTTCATATTTGTATCCAGAAACATCTTTAAAACGGCGAACTTCAAACACGTTCGTCAAAGAAAATCTACTTAAAACTTACGCCAGCCATTGTAATTGCTTTGTTTACAATAATTGCTTGTATGAATATTCTCCCATTCCTCCATAATTATTGAGCTAATAATGTACTTTGAGACATTCTTTACTGTGATTGGTTGGCTGCAATGCAAATATTCTGTAATTCATTGGCATAGGGACCGGTAGGGCCAAGACATTCAGCGAGCATGAACCCTTTCCCCTGTACTTGCCACGAAAGCTGAAAATTTCAGTACTTAATGGCGAGAAAGAAACCGACGTGCTAAATAAGGACATGGCACGCAGTGGACAAGAGCGAGTAAGTAAATAAGCAAAACAGCAACACTTGTCCTATCAAGCGAACGACTGCTTCCGTATTAAACGATACCATATATTCACAGAGGGTTGAATAAATTTTACTTACAATCATGAAAACATAAAGCTAAGATAAGCGGATATGTTTTGGTGCGTTGTTAAGAAGCCAATACTTCGTCCCAAAAACCAAAACGAACGATAGTTGTGGACTCAAACACCATGTGAAGTATGACGTATAGGGTCAAGTTTTATGGTATAATGTGTAACAATTTCATTTGTTTTGAGTACATGGAAGTAATCTATAAAAAATGCCAAGTAAAGTAGTTGGGAGTTGTGCTTATAGTGACCAACTGTGTGATTTCCCATGCATTATAGGCAGTGCTGGTGCAATATTTCTTAGCGCATTTTGATTTTCTTCCGATGTAACACGTAGAGCCCAAGGCCAATATTTGCATATAATATCTTCCCACATATATTTATCTTTATGGGGTTGTAAAAAAATGATATGCAAGTAGTGAGCATAGCCATAAATTTCTCCTCTGAACATGTTCAAAGTAGCTTGAGCAATCGAGTACCTGCATCCAGCAACTTCAAGTCCGGTCTCGTCTTGGTTTTTCTTTGATTTGGAGACCATTTTTGCAGCTTTCCAATGGGTGTCGCCACAAGAATTATCTTCATTCTATAAAAAATGCTTTAACCTAATAATAGATTACTACCTTTCAATCCTATTTCATAACACATTACCTGAATTGACTTTGAACCAAGACTTTTTAAATGAGAGTCCACAAAACTATTGTTTGCAATCAATACATCACGATAATAACACTGGACTGGACCCCTGTGGTAAAAGTAAGTTATCAATTTAGAACACAAGCACTCATAAACCCAACAATGCAGGTAAAGAATCAAACATGAGCAGTAGGTCTTTTTCTTGGATTTGTTAAAATTGGTTCAATTTATTAAAACATAAAAGTATCTAAATTGTTTACAAAGGGTAATTGCATTTTTGCAAGTTTGAGAATTCGCCATCCAATATCACAAACCTTGGTACTTTGCTGAATCTGTACACTTTTTGATTTCCATCAATATGACATGAATGTTGATCAATACTACAAGGAGGGCAATTTTTCCATGTCTGCTCATGAAGAAGGTCAATTTCATGTTGGCAATGGCTCCATTCAGCAAATGATTTTCTGAATGTGACTGAATTGATAACATTTTCCTAGTGAAACCAGTTCCACATCAAAACATAGCACAATTATATACTATTTGTTGATTATGCAAAACCCCACTGTACTATAATATAGTTTTCATACTTTAAACATACACATTAGATGAAGCCTACAAAAATTGACATGTGCTTGTTACAAATTTTAAACAAATTTTCCTTTACTTCCCAGAATTTACCAAAATTCACAGAAAGAAATGATCATAAAGGATTATTTTGAAACCAAGATTTACGTCTTGTAGCTTTTGGTTTGCAAGACAAAAAATATACACAAAGTAAAAAGCACACTAACAAAGATATGTAGATAGCATAAAAAATAATCACCCTTCCTCTAGAGCTGGAAATATCTTCCAAACTTCTTACAAAAGCAGATTGTGATGACCCAGGCATCCTCTTTCTAAATGCATCCCACAAATTAAAGACATCTTGACTAAATATGTAATGAAAATTTTCAGGGGTACCAGGCCACCAGCCACTCTCAATTATACTGTCAACAGAAATTGGTGACCACTTCCATTGACAAGATGAGCAATGTACAGTGAACCAATTAAGATCAAATCGTTCTGTTGAAGACAAAATATAATCAAAAATAACCAGTACAGTGCTGAAAATATGCGCTTCAAAGAAATCAAATCCTGGGGTTTCATAAGAAGCCAGCAACTTCATCAATGATTTGAAGTTTTTAGTTTCAATCTAAAGTCTATGAATTAGTGTATAATCCAACCTGCTGCCTATGTACTTTTCTAAATGTGACTAAGATAATGAGCCCCTACCAAATCCGATTTTAATAAGATGCATCATATGTACATCCATATATCAAAAATTGTTATTTGGTCTCTGTAAAAAAATTGCATAAGGACATTTTCACCTTCACAAGTGATCATAATCACAAGAGAGCTGTTGGTAGTTTTGATGATAGGTTCATTACACAACTGACATGATGATGGGTAAAGGATGGTAAATGATCGATCTACAAAGATAACAGCATCATCACAGAAAAACATTTCTCTCACATGAAGCACAACAAAAAAAAACAAATATTTATATAAAATTCAATAGTATGTTCATTATACTTACCAATGCTGCAAATCTTTCCGTCAGATGAAATGGATTGTGTTGGCTTGATATATTGAAAATAACCATCCAACCACACTTCTCGATCATGGAGAGGATTATTCTCATAGACATCATCATCGCATTCTTGACAAATATATCTCAACACACCACATTGTCTGCATCTCAGTACGTACAGCTTCATTTTCATTGCATCTACAACACTTCATAGCAGATAAAGGAGGAGCAAATGATGACACGGTGACATTGAATATTTTTTCCCTCATACTTTCTCAATTTTCTTCTCGATTTTCCATTCTTTTTTGCCAAGCAGATGGCCCAGTATCCACTTCTCCAATAACCAACTGACAGCTTTCAAGAATGGCTTCAAGATCTAAAATGAAAATGAAATGATTTTATGACATAAAGCTGTTTCCTTTTCTATTTTTTTTCTAAAATTTGACACAATTATAAAAAGAGTACATTGAAGTGTTAAAAGCACAGTCACATGTGTATAAAAATATAAAAAACTATGTATAGATGCAGTGGCCTGGACAGCACAAAAGTTTTGCTTCTGTTATGTAAAGTTGAGAGGTAAGAAGTATTATCAATAACCTCTTTCAGTAACACTGTCCTCACATAACATTTCCTGTGGAACATCATGTAAATCTGACGATGTTGTAGGCATTTCCTCATCTATGATAATAGTAACAACAAGTAACATAAAATGTAACATACAAGTTACACAAAAATCTAAAATGCTTCTATTTCTTTGATAAAAGTATTATTTCCCCAGCACACACCTCTTTGTGTATTTCTATTGCTCGGAGTGCTTTGCCTCAGCTTATGAATAATCCGTTCGCCATCTTCGTTTCTTTGAAGAACTATATCTCTACTGGCATTTTTCTTCTTAATAGTTTTACTTCTACTTCGAACACCTTGATTTGTAATAGCATTGACATTGCTTATTGCAGACAGCAGCTGCTCATCAATCGTTGGTTTACTCAGCTTACTGCGTTTATGAGACATGTGATTGCATAAATAAGAGGTGAAACCCCGATGTGTTTAATATTTCATAAAAATACTGATACAGGGTACTGTAAAATATCTTCGCTCCTATAACAAAAAAAATGGCGCGCGCTACGTTTTTTGGTTTTTTCATTTCGGCAACTGGCAAAGGAGCCACTCATGTCACCAGGCCTATTGTTTGAATGGACGTTTCAAATTGACTTATAGAGTCAATTTGAGGGTATTTTGCATTGAGTTCTATAATAACTAGAGCGGCTATCTCAAGCGCGGCCTTAGATATCTGATGACGCCAAAAAAATGGCGGATTTCGTCCTTTGCCGCTGAGATTTACCGAAATTGACCGCTTTTCCGAAAATTTCACAATTTCCCACTCCCTCCTGAGGAAAGAGTGAGGAAAATGTATGCGTGCATTTGGGATTCGGCAAGCAATTTTTTGATGAAAATGAAGGTAAAAACCTTAAATTCATAACAGCGAGTCAACTGTGGTTGTCAGTTATCGGCTCCTACGAGGATGCATTTATAACTATCGACGAAAGACCTACATTAAATGAAGAAATGATCTGCATAAAACATTCATTCGAAAGACCTACATGTCGGCTACACATGTATGAATGCAGATGTGCGTCGTTTTCTTACCAGCGTCAAACTTGTTTGATCGATTAAACTCTTTAGTCTATACAAAAAAGTATATCATAGTTCATCTCCACGGTTCACGAGGGAGAAGTTAGCTTATTTGTTATCATTGCCATTTTGCTTCTTTTCATGCAATGGGCAATGGCTTTTTTCGCCACAATTGTAGGATTTTTACTTGTTTCTTTAAAAAAGTACATATTAAATCTCTGTATATTTACGGATTTTCTGTAATTGAGTTTCATATGAAATTTCAAAAAGACTCAAGTCTGCATAGGTTTGGTAAATGAAAACAAACAATATTGCATAGAAATTACTTTAAGTAAGAGGCCATCAAATACTTGTAAAGTTGTAGCACATTTTGATTTTGTTGTATTGATATATGAATTGGGCAAAATGCAAATAATCATCAAAACACTTATGCTTCCAATGGTGTTTATAATTCATTTGTAGTTTTAATACTTCTACCTTTCTTTTTCACTTTGTTTTGTTTTTCCTATATTTGCAATAAAAGTGCACTATAATTTGAATGATTAACACAGTTTTCACCTCAATAATAAATTTCATAAGCAGTTGGTAGTGCATTTTGTTCTCTGAGTATCCACATCTGGTGTTTTGTTCATACAAGAATGATGAAGTGCAAGTAGATATGTCATAGCAAGGCAATAAAACCAAATGAATTACATACCTGTAGCGTACTCTTATGCTAGAAGCTTAAAAGCTTTTTAGAAATTAGAAAGTTATTGGATTATATTACCTCTATATCATCAATCTCATGATAAGAAATAAGAAGCAAAAAATTTGTAGAAAAGCTTTGAAAAGTGAAAAACTTTTCTTTAAAAAAGCAGCAATAATGCATATGATAAATCTCCATTTTGTACTCTAATAGGTAAATAAGCTCAAATTTTTCTTAAAGAAATATAAGAAATATATAAGAAATATACAGTATAGTAATTTTAAAGGTTTCATCACTGAATCTTTAATGCTTCAGTATAGTGCCTTAGATATTAGTAACATTCAAACAACACTCAACTAAAATATTTTGATAAAGATAAGACATGATTTAAACATTAAGTTACATAAAACCCAATGGCTTATGCAGTTTGAAGCTTCACATCTGCATCGAGTCATCATCAATCTCAGTACAAATGTTTACATAGACACAAACTTTATGGCCTTCCATTTTACATGTTTGTGAATTGACATTTCATTAAGCATCAAAACACACACAACCTTCTTGCCATCTTTCTTTGGATCATGAACTTTAACTTCAAAGCATTCAAGGCATCCTCAGTGAATCCATTGTCTCCATCCATAGAATTTGACCACGATTAAATTAAATAACTCTGGATAGGGCAGACAATAATCAATTATCTTTACAGCATTATCATTTTTTAAGACTCTGCCTGGTCAATAACATCTTCCAGTCATCTTTACTCCTTGATCTTCCCTGCATGTTGTCAGCAAATAGAACATAACAAGCTCTGCTCCAAATCATGGGTACTGTTGGGGCTGATCATTTCTTTTTGATACTTACTCACAAAGCAAAATGTGTGCAGGGTCTTTTTTGCTTTAGGGAAACTATTTTGCAAATAAATGGATAAATTTACGATTTCATGCATTAACAAATGACAGAAAAGTATGCAGAATTTTATAAACAAAAACAGGAAAACATCAGTATATTTGGCGTTCAAGTCAGTCTTAAAAAATACGATCTTTAATATGTATTTTATTGCTTTTCAAGTGCATGTATAATTGCTTTTCAATCGTTGACGGACTAACAAAACAAACAAATACCTCACCTGTGAGAAGCGATATGTTCCTTTTTGTGGAAACTACGACATCAACAAATGAACGATTGAAGTGTTGGCATTATAAAAGAAATGCCAAAAAAGAATCGTCACAGAATATGGAACTAACGATATCCATATTCTGTGATATCGTGTTTGTTTTTGAAAAATTCTTTATAATTTACTATAGACACCAGGGGGAGGTCGAGAATATTATTTTTCTGCAAAGCGATCATTTCAGCGGAAATATGTCCTTTGGCCGCCATTTTTTTGGCGAACTCGCCCCAGTAAAGTTAGCCGCTCCAGTTATTATAGAACTCAATGGTATTTTAACAATTAGCGTATAGAGTTAATTTAAGGAAGAGACTGGGTTGGACCACGACAATGCCAAGTTTGTGTTTCATCGTATAGGTCGAAAACATCGACATTGCGATGACCAGATTAACGAAAAATCAACCATCCTGTACGACGATTACTGAAAATGAACTTGGTTTACAAACACATGTTTAAAGGCAGTTTCAAAGGAAACTCTTCTCTCTCTTTGCCACACATCCGGGGTTTGCTTTTACCCGGGCGATGATCGGGGACGCGCCTATTAACTTCCTGGTCAGCGGCAAAAGCCTTGACATAATAATCGCTATAAATGCAATATGTTTCTTGTATAAAATTTCATAACACAAATCAACACAAAGTATACAGCACAGCGCCCACATTGTATTATATGTTCATTTGGCTTTTACAAAATATGCGGTCTTTTTTATAACGAATGTCACTGCAAACGCGCATGGTGAAGTATATTATTCTTTGTTATTGAGCTTGCTTGTAATATGTTCTAAAAGATATTGCTGATGCTCAAAAGTATTCTAATCGGTAACAAAGTATACAGCCCAAAGTATACAGCACAGCACCCACATTGTATTATATGTTCATTTTGCTTTTACAAAATATGCGGTCTTTTTTATAACGAATGTTACTGCAAACGCACATTGTGAAGTATATTAGTCTTTGTTATTGAGCTTGTTTGTAATATGTTCTAAAAGATATTGATGATGCTCAAAAGTATTCTAATCGGTAAGTCTTTTTTTTTCGGCACTTTTAAATCTTACAATTTATGTTTTGTATTATTATACAATTGTCATGTCTGATTATGGGCAAGCAAAGTACTCTGTCAGAGTTTGTCCAAAGTCAAAATTCAGACAACTTGCATGAAAGTACTGCCCACATGAATCACATCCCAACCAGTCTTCACCATCATCTATCTTGCAAATCTTGCATACCAAACTATTTCTCCTAATAAAATAAATTTTACACATTTTACTTATGGTATAGTAATCAAGCACACAATTGGCATATCTGACACAAAACCTGTCGTCATTTTTATAGCAAATGTTCCTTCAAACGCGCATTGTGACGTTAAATTTACGTATGAGATTAACTCTAGAAGCTACTACTTAGATCATAGGAAATGGCCTATCCTCAATGCCTATACTCATTATGCTGAATATTCGCGCACTTTTCATTCTTACGTATAGGTACTTTCGCTTTTCAAGTGCTTTATAGGTCTCGCCTTAACTGCACCTAGATAGCCTATCCTTAATTTATATGTTCAATATTCGAGCACTTTTCATTCTTACGTATAGGTACTTGCGTTTTTCGAGTGCTTTATAGGTCTCGCCTTAACTCCACCTAGTTAAGAAAAAATATAAAAACCTCGCATCAAAAGTGAAAAAAATAGTGGGCACATTACTGGCTCGTGGAAAGAAATTCATATAAAGACGTATAAGCGTTCGAGTGTTTGCTCTGACTCATTATTAAACATTTCAACAGACTGAAATATATTAAGGAACAAATTCCGTGTTTCATACTCAGTATATGGCGCAGACAATTCTTCAGCGTGAATCTGCAGAATGCTAAAATAAACAAGTAAACTTCCTTAGAGAAAAACTCGCAAGTGTGCAAATTCTGGAAAATTACTGCACAGGATACATTGATAGAACGGTGGAGCAAACGGAAGAACTTCTTGAACAGTTTCAGGTCTCGTAGTTTGTTTTCAATTGTTGCACCATACTGCAAACAATTTGTAACATATTCCGAAAAACATCATCATGTAAACTCAAAATTTCAGTTATAATAGCAAGAAACAAAATCTAAAAGCAATATTTTGACTTTATTTCAATGTCGTTATAAAGCTAATATAGCTAAGTTTACAAGATCATGTTTTTTGAAGTATGTTTTATAATTTCTTTCTTCAAATTGTCGGCTTGAAAAGGTTTTTGTAATTGTTGAACAGTTAACTTTCAAAGGCCGTAATACGTAAACCTTGATAAATTGATTTCACGCGTTTATATATTTGAAAAGTGAAAGAGGTTTTTGAATTTAGGTAATTGATTCTATCTCTTTTGTGAAAGCTGACAACCACTCAAAAACAAGGGGCAATAAACGTTTTTCAGTTACAGGTAATCAACTCAACCGCATCGTACCTGACCGTACGTGGTTTTCTTGCCCTGTCAGATGGGCACATGCTTTTCGAAAACAGCAAGTCACCAACATTGTTAATACTAACAATGGCGTTGAGGCTCAAAACAGAGTCTTTAAATACGAATACTTACCCCAAAGTATTGACAAATCTGTGTATGGTATTGCGGTGATGTTGGTTGAATCTTTCATTCCCGATGTTCTTTAGCACTATTTGGATGCAAACCTGCGACTGAGCAGCGCCTACTGCAAGTACAACCCATCAATCCCAAAATACTTGCACAACAGACCTCCGCACTTTTTGAAATGTTGTCTTAAAAATCGATACGCTTCAGCCATTTACAAACAGGACGACATAACTCCGGTTAAATTAAAGAAGGGCACGTTCCATGTCAAGAGCGAGAGCAATGTTGGAAAGAAACATTTCATAGACTTCCGAGAACCAAGTTGTACCTGCAAAATATGGCACACTACCCATTTCCCTTGCAAACATTTTTTTGCAGTTTTTTCTTTCTATGACGAGTGGGATTTCGAAAGTCTTCCAGAAGACTACCGAAATAGCGTTTTCATCACTCTCGACAATGAACCTCTTGGATTGCCACAAGATACTACGCCAGAAGAACTAGAGGAAGCCAATGCGTCATCATGGAGCACCATCAAAAGAGACGTTTTTTTGCAAGAATCGTTGTCTTCTGATAACAAAAAATATATCCACGACATACCCCACGAAGAAACAGTTAAGTTTGAAACTACTTCAAACAAAAGTTCCAAAAGGCTCAGAAAGATCTTGCAAGAACAACTGGGCCAAATACACAGTATGACCTTCCTGATTGACAAGTAAGACAAGTTATTGAATTGCTTTCTTGTCATTTCTTAAAAAAGCTTCTCTCAAATGATTACTTTTATGTTTAAAAAATTTCTTATCCGTCCGAAAAGAGTAAAAAGACAAAAGCACTTACCTTACTTTCCAATATCTTATTAAAGTATTGTTTCAAAAGTAATTTTCACCAGCCATTAGATATACGATACGAAGGACATCACCAAAATTGTGGGTTTATGTCTTCCAAATCTCACTCATTTTTGCCATACTAGTAATTATTTAATATGAGTAAGGACTATACCATTACACATAGTCCATTTTTCGTTTCCTAAATGGCAACTGTAGTATTGACGTCTCAGCTGAGCACAAGGCAAATCCACTGGATCGCTTACTGAATGCCTCTCTAAATGGAATTAAGTTAGGTGATCAAATGCTTGAATTTGGACCAAACAAAGTTACTCTTCAGGATTTATGGACCCTCATTTCACCAAATGAGATGACTAAATATGCTGCCACACTAATTTAAAATAAAACTGTGGCACCTGGATGGCTTAGTGATACAGTAAGTCAAGTGATTAAACACTCTACAGCTTACATATGATTATCATGCATCAGAGACAAATGTTGAAATGGTAAATGAGCCTGATTGTTATAGGTTATCAACGCTTTCTTATGGAAACTTTCATGTGAATATCCTGGTGTCCTACCAGCAGAATCATATGCATGTCAGTTGGTGCAACGAGGATCTAGTACACATCGACTGTGGGCAGATCAAAATTTCATGGCAATTGACAAAATAATATTTCCTCTCAATACGTCTGGGAGCCATTGGACACTTTTGGTAAATACAATAAGGATGCAACATAGCTAAGACAAGGCAACAAATTTTTATTATTTTCAATATTTTCAATTTTAGAGGTAATCGACAAATAAAAAGAGATGGTATACTACCTTGATCCTATGGAAGGTCGTGTAGATGAAGTTATCAGTGAGGCAACAAGAGTTGAACTTTCACAGTTTATCAAAAGCATTTGGTAAGTATACATACATTACTTCCTTGACAAATACCAGTGTTTGAAATTCCAATTCAATGAATCAATTCAATGTCTTGAATACACACAGCAACATTAATATTGTGCAGTTGATAATATAATCCCTTTGTTTATACAGAGCCCTTGTTACTCTAAAAAGTAGGTGGAGCACATCAACTTGGTCTATTATTCAGCTTTCACACTATGTACAAGAGGATGGGTTTAACTGTGGAATAATTATTTGCCTGGTAGTTGTTTTGACATTGTGTTCTAAAAAATAACAATTTAAAAAAAATCTCTTTTATTTTTATCATTTCAGTTTGCTGAATATCTGAGTCAAAATCTTGACATAAATGCAAAGTTTGACATTATAAAAGTGAGGCATTACGTGACTTCAACGATTATGGGTTCTTGCTATGATGACATTTATGAGTAATAACAAAAAATTATATTCTTTTAAATAATTTAATAAAAGGGGCAAATTATAGATTTTATTTAATTGACAAAAACATTAAACTAGACAAAAACATAAAACTAGACAAAAACATTAAATTCGTGATTTATTTGTTGGAATTATCCATAAAATCAATCTGACATTTGTATTGTAATAAATTGTACCATAAGTAAAATGTGTAAAATTTATTTTATTAGGAGAAATAGTTTGGTATGCAAGATCTGCAAGATAGATGATGGTGAAGACTGGTTGGGATGTGATTCATGTGGGCAGTACTTTCATGCAAGTTGTCTGAATGTTGACTTTGGACAAACTCTGACAGAGTACTTTGCTTGCCCATAATCAGACATGACAATTGTATAATAATACAAAACATAAATTGTAAGATTTAAAAGTGCCGAATAAAAAAGACTTACCGATTAGAATACTTTTGAGCATCATCAATATCTTTTAGAACATATTACAAGCAAGCTCAATAACAAAGAATAATATACTTCACAATGCGCGTTTGCAGTAACATTCGTTATGAAAAAGACCGCATATTTTGTAAAAGCCAAATGAACATATAATACAATGTGGGCACAGTGTTGTATATGTGTTGATTTGTGTTATGAAATTTTATATAAGAAACATATTGTACTTATAGCGATTATTATGTCAAGGCTTTTGCCGCTGACCAGGAAGTTAATAGGCGCGTCCCCGATCATCGCCCAGGTTATAGCAAACCCCCACACATCCATCTAGCACTTACGTTTGTAGACGTCATTACCATGTGCTATAATGATGTCATGGATTAATGATGTCAAAAGCAGTGAACTCTATAACAACAGGAAGGCTAACTTGGACGCCACATCGGCTAACTTGGCCGCCATTTATTAACATTTCTTCAACGATTTGAACAGCTCTTGCATGATTGTCTATGCCATGACAAGTTGAACTGAATGTGGGGTTTACAATCATACAGAGATTGTTGACTCATCGATAGGCCTAGTAATTTCAAGAACTACATTTGCATTGCTATCCAATGATTGACTACTATAAGTTAGAGAGGGAAAGGCTCCATCATAATCAATGCCATACTCATCGAAATTTTGTATTACATTACTATCAATTACTGTTATACTGACATTTTTCAATCCAGAAATCCACAATTGAATTGGTGTCATGTTACCCTCATTTCTTAATCGGTGATTATCATAATTTTTTCGAAATCACTCAAGATGCCTTTTTACTCGGGGTTGAAAGACAAAATGTAGGCAAAAAAATATTAATTTTATTGCTTATAGCAAGGTAATAATTCTGTTCCAAATACCAGTATGCATAGTAAAAATAAAGTACAGCCATGGAACAGGACCTTACAAAACCTCTCTATTCTCTGGTTATGACAACTTTTGCCAGCAATGAAGCTCTCTCTACCTAGTACTCTTAATGGATTTGAGAACATGAACCATGCAACATCACAACATTTCCTACACCTTGGTCTCCTCCTACCCTTTCAGAAAGGCCAAATCTTTCTATTTCACCCATAAAAAGAGAAAACACAGTATTTGCCTTATTATTAGTGCTCGCTGCTAGAAATATCACCCTTCAGGAAAAGTCATTTTGATGAATAACAAACCCCCATCTTATCAGTTCCCATCAAGGTGCCATAATGAAAGGTTTTTTGCTACAGAATAATGCCTTCGCCTTACAATATTAAGCTGCATTGTTCTTAATAATAAGCCTTGTGGATCATCTCGCCATAATGATGAGCGTACATGCTCCCACTGGATGCGTAAATTTCTGGCTTGAAGGAAACCTTTCATTCTTCTTATACCACAATTAGGAAATCCATGATAGATCTCTAATACAATCGCATCAAGATTTTCATGTAATATATCACTGCATGATAGCACAGTTAAGTCAAACTGTCTTATCCTTCGACAAACAGTCTTCATGTTGACACCTATAATTTGAGATATTTTTTTCAAAGTAAAACCATAATTAAGATACATTTTTAAAACCACTCTTGGTATATTAAGGTTCGGGCGACCAGGAGAAGCTGTATTCGCAACAGAAGGTGTGGAGGATGGAATTACAAGTAAAGAGCTCACAGAATCTGGCATTTAAAAATAAGCGTAAGTTATTTTGTATGCATAATTATTTATTACATAAAGTTATGTTCATCAGATGTTGATTACTGACCTTTGGGGCCAACGTCGACGCGATGAAGTGAAATACAACTCGACGAACTGAAAAACGACGCAACGAACTGAAATACCATGCAACGACGTGATGTTGCATTGTAGTTTAAAACAGATGATTGCGACGCAAAGATATATGGTAACGCCATGACATATAAATTTGCCAAGCGAAGACATGAACTTGATTTTGTCCCCAACCTAATTCCATAATATAAGACAAGGACGTAGTCTATCTACACTTGATTTGAAGTCATGCGTGTCGATTATATTTCCTGTGAGAAACAAATTGCAAAATGCAAATAAGCTTCACAGTTCAACTGTATTTAGGAAAATAATTAACGGTATTGTGAATTATGTAATTGACAATGTATTCGTTAACAAGAAGTGGATACGCTTTATTTGTGGTTTTTTTCATGTTTCGTGGAAGTTGTGAAACTGTGGAAGAATTCTCCTCACTCTATTTGAAACAGCTGGGCTACGATTCATTTTATATTGGCTTAATGCCTTTGTTTGGTCTAGTGACACAGTTGACTGGCGTTCCTGTTTGTACTTATTTGGCTGATAAATTTCGACTCCGTAAATTTACTTTGATTCTGGCGACACTAATTTCTATACCTGCAATCATGATGTATTTGATTCCTCAAGCGACAAGTTCACCATGTAAAACAAAGATACGGAATTACGAAAGCATAAGTTTTCATAACAAAACCCAAACTAAATTCCTAAACAGTTCATTCACAATCACAAATCAAAGAACTCTACCACATGGTATCACTAACAATTTTAACGAGAGCACAAACCTTAATGAGTTTTCGTACTATCTGGGAAATTCGTCAGTATTCAAAAACAGCAGCCAACGAAATCATGGTAGAGATAAACTTTGGTATTTTTTGCTTTTGTGTATTCTAAATGGAATATTTGAGCTTTGCAGAAGGGTAACAATTGGAATAATGAATAGTATAGGAATAAATCATGAAAAAGATATGATATGTAAGTTTTCATACTACTTGGGATGCGGAGCTGCTGGGTCAGGAATTGCACTTTGCGCCGTGGCTCTTGTTGCTGGACAATTTAAATATAGTAGATGTGGCATAGAAGTACCAAGTTATTTTGTTGCATTTCCAACTGCAGCAACTTTACAGTGTTTTATTTTACTAGGGGTAGCATTGTTGAAGTTTGATTACAAGGATAATGCAGAGAGCATCAACTATAAGAAAGCAGTATTAACATTGCTGAAACCACACAACATTTTCATTTTGTGTATAGCTTTACATGTGGGTGCATGTAATGGGTTTTTAACTCGTTGGCAGTTTTGGTACATGGAAAAACTTGGTGCAAGTACGACAGTCATGGGTGTTGAGGTATTGTTAAAGAGGTTGATTATCTTGAGCTTTTGGTTTCTGACCACTGGTTATGTCCTCAACGCATTTGGCCAATACGTCACAATGACACTTTCTCTTTTGTTATTTGCAGTTGCATTTGTTCTTCTTGCGCTTATTAAGAACCCCTGGTTTGTTATTCTGATTGATAACTTTGAAATTTCTGCCTATGCGTTTTTCTATACAGCTGCTGCGTTTCACTTCTCAAAAGCAGAATCAGAAGCGTTATCTTCATTCATTCAAGGTTAGTGTAATGTTATTGCTTACCTGCACCATACATAAAACCCACAATATGTCTTATGAACAATTATTGATATAATTTGTTCTGCAATGATTTTCAACAAAGTGTTAGCAATTTTTTACTTTTAAAGACTCTTCTTTTGCTGTTTATATTGCACGTTTATAATATACAAACACTTATGTTTGTAGAAACTTTTCATCGATAAAATTAATGTTGTGGATAACTGACGTATCCAGTCCGCATTTTTGGTCAAGATATGTAAAAATTCAGCTCATTAACATCATTTACTCCTTTACGAACATTAATTCTTTTTAAGAAAGTAAATACCAAAGTATGGAAAATACACGACAAAACTTGCATTCTGGCTACGTTGCAGTTATGAATTAAAATATAAAATACACCATTTGATAAAGTAACTTCGTAATTGCTTAATTTGAGATCAAAATAGGATTAAATTGAAAAAAATTTTTTGAAAAGCCGTTTTTGTTGTTTTGCTTTATAAAATCTTGTATATTTGCTGAAATAAGTATATAAGCCGAGTTACAGCATTTAAAAACAATTATTTGCTGTCCGAATTATTTTATGTATTTATCTAAAGACAAAAATAAGCAGCATATTCAATAAAAAAGTTTTATGTGGTTTTGTTCAGTGTTTTGCTCTGGTTTTTAATAAATTGAATTAATCGTCATTTAATTATTGTTACCTTCAGGTGTGTTGACTCTTACCATGAATGGCGTGGGAAAAGACGTTGGCTCGATATTGACAGGATATCTATTTAGAGAATGTGGCATTAAAACAACCTTGTGTGGATACTCAGTAATTTCTTTTGTATGGTTCATATTTCTGGCAGTTTACACTTTCAGCAGTAAAGAGGCTCATAACTACAAGAGAGTAAAAACAGAAGCTGAGAGTGATATCGATGAAGAGAAACTCCCATAATAAAAACTATTTCAACTTACCATTACTGAAAAAGGTTTTGTCAGTAAATAGGTTATTTTGTGATGCAAAACATGTACTACTTATTTACCGCTGTGCCTGGTGGCCTGGTAATGTAATTTTTAATGAAAATTTTATTGCTCGTTTGCTGTAATCAGCAAAGTATCGAATCAATTAAAATGAATGTCATGCTTCAATTTTGCAATTAACAGCAGCTGCAATTCGTATTAGATTTTCTAAATATTTCTGCTGGTAATAGCAATTGTCGTTTCCTGAATCTGTTCTTACATTGGACTTCAGCCCAATTTTTTCCGATAAACCATTAAAAATGAAAAGTATCTGTTTGATAATATCCATGTTATGTGTAAAAGGATTTGCATGCCCTTAATATGTGTTGTTTCATATAATGTGAGTCGTAATGTAATTATTTGTCTGCAATTCCACATGTGCTGGTTTTCAGTACAGACACTGATCTCGTAATACGACTTGATAAAGCAACTCTGTACTCGTTGTAGTTCAACGAAGCCATGATTACCGGTCGAGCTCATCAAAAGACTATTTGAAAAAACAAACAAAAGTGTGAATAATTTAGCAATGCAGAGCTAAATCAATCTTTAAGATTATGCAAAAGTCTAAAACAACCTTTGTGATAATTTTAATAACACCAGCCAGCCGGTGTTACCGTTAATGCCTTTAATCAAGTTTATGTATAAACACTTTTAGATAACTTAAGAACGTTGAAAACATCTTTCTTGAGAGAGTCTAAAAGTGTTGGAAAAATGTACGTAAAGGCACGAGAAATATTGACCTAGCCCAACAACACAGAATATGCAACTAACTAGAATGGTCATTCCTTGAAGTTTTTGGTCACACCGAAAATTGTCAGATGTAACTGTCGCCATTTTCCTGGATAGTAAAATGAGAGGATTTTACAACAAACAATATGGCGAAAATTGGATTGTCGAGTTTAAAAATGTTTTAATTATGGAGTGTAAGTGGACTATCTTTGCCATTTTTATGTGTATAATAAAGAGAAGGTAAAACACGATTACTCTGTCGACTCTTTTTACTTAAAAATCTAATTTTACGACACAATTCAACAGCCATTTATTTGGGAGTATATTCGATCGTAGGTTTTAGTTTATCTTTACCAGGATGTCTTAATTAAGCAATCACAAATACGTTATGACTCGTCATATATTTAAAATGAACTATACAAATGATGTTAACAAGCCTTCATTGTTTCGGAGATTAATTTTCGTGATTGAATGCTTTAAATAAAGTAACTCTATGACAATCAAAATAGAAATATACGTTCATGTACAGTTTATAATTTGTCTGATTACTCATAATTACGCATAGATATGATAGATTTGGGCTAATGGAACAATAAAAAACTAGCACTGTTTTCAGAGTTTTATATCTTAGTGCCTACTGTAAAAATGGGATACATGATTTTCAGCAATAATGAGAATCTACACCCTGCTTTTTAGTTTCTTGTGAGCAAAACATTTGTAACTCTAAATCCTAAGGAAATGCTTTTGTTTAAATACTTACATATGCCCAACAAACTTAGTGAACATATACAAACATGACTAATCAAAAATAGCTATCAAACTAAATTAGGGAAGGTTTTCACTCTTGAAATAAATACACTGCATGACTTCTATATGGACTGAACAAAGCAGTAGTTAGAAAGTGTATTTATCCATCATCGTCCCATTATTGAAGACAAGAAATATTTTTTGTATGGTTAGATAACATAACACTTTGATTTATTCATGGTTATTTGTATAATATGTCCTTTAAATCACATGCCAGCAAGAGAGTATTCAGCATTATTGATTATACATTGTACGCATACAAATACTACATAATATTTCCAGGGAATAATGCAGACGAATTGCTAAAACAACAAAGATTATCTAAAACGTACAAGTCGAAGCCGCCGAGTATACTCCCAATAAATCGCAGTCAAACTGTATTGTAAAATTTGATATTTAGTCAAAAGAGTCGATGACGTAAACGTTTATAACCTTCTCTTTAAATTAATCATAAAAGTGGCAAAATTGTCCTCTTAAACTCCATAAAGCTCGACAATTCAATTTTCGCCATATTGTTCATAGTAAAATTCTCCCATTCACCTGAGAACATGGTGACGTGCACTTCCGACAATTGTAGGCGTGACAAAAGAATTCTAAGGAGTGTCCTTCTCGTTAGTTATGTACTCTATGCCAGCATGCTTACAGCGGCTTATATTGGACTATGAACCCTTCAACAAGGGAGCATCGTTAAATGTTTGTAATGTAGATCGTTTACGGTAGTAGAGTCGTGCAAAAAACAGCTGGTAATAATGACGAGGCATGTTTCAAAATCCTTAGTGGTAGTCGTCTTCAGAATGAAGACTTCAGAGATACACAAGCAAATATTTTCTCTTCACAACATACAAAGAATTTCATGTTTGTAGATGTAGATCGTCCAGTTTAGTAGAGTCCTGAGAAGGACTGTTGTTGTTGATGTAAAGTGACGTTTCGACTATCTCAGCGGTAGTCATCTTCAGAGTCAAATAAAGAGTAAACGTCATGTAGCTGTATTTCTTATCTGGTTCTTATGTCATAAAATATCCAAAACTTTTGATTTATAATTTAGAAATCGATAGAACGATTTAAAAAGCGTTCAAATATAGAGCGCACACGTTTTTTTTGTTTAATAGGTTGACAATGATAGGACCATGTCTTTTATTATATATTTTAGGGGTTGTTTTTAACTTGAATGTTTTTAATGCAACCATAAGTTTTTTCTTTCATGCAGATTTTTATACATCACCAGAAATTGGAGACATTTTGCAACTACGCTCGTACTCAGCGGTTACTCTTTTAAGTAACTAATATTCGATAGGCGTGGGAGTTTCACAAAGGTTTAAAAGTCTCGTAAAACAGGGTGGCTCTAAGATTTTTCAAACATCAATCATGAACGCCGAAAGCCTTCCGCACCTTCGAAAATTACGATGTTTGACAAGCTTGACAAAACTATGCAAATGTATAGAGTCTCATAGCAACACATTCAAAAGCGACAACCTTATTCATGATTCTACCGAAGCAAATTTGTCATAAGTTTAAGAGCTTTTGGAAGTATTCTATCGCGACTAAATCAACTGTTTAGTTAAAATTCCAGTAAAGAAACATTGGACTTTAGTTTAAAAGTGTGGGACTTTGGATATGAGGACCAGGTGATGCATTATTTGCCCGAGTTCGTCAACTATTTTCAGCATACTTATATAATCGCTATAGAAACAGCTGCAAATCAACATTCTCGTCACATATCGGGGGAAGCATTTATACTTCATTTTCTTTTATCATTTTTAGGTAATGTATAATGTTTGGCAGCTTTACCACATTTATTGAGTGTGGTAGCTTGGTAATATGCTATATTATCATGTGCAATTTTGTATTTAAAATTTCAACCACTGTGTTACTTATAAAAAACAGACGTCATTTTGAAAAAATATAGCTTCCTCATCAGCCATTATGTCCCACATTTCGGAGCAGATCTCAGTTTTCAAATTGGTAAACATAACATATTTATTACCTTATACAAAGTACACAAAGTCATTAAAAGTACAATTTAGAACACTAGACGTCTTTGACACTCACATTAACTCAACGATTCATTTTCCTTCTCAGTCACTTTGACAATAGCCCAAATCTCTTTTCAGATAAAAAAAAGCGCATTAAACGCATTGTCAGTGTCAGCAAAATGTACCTAAAACCTTTAAACTAGCTCATTTTCGTCAGTGAGCTTGATAGCTAAGTTTTTTAAATTTTTTTTTCCAAACCAATTTTTAACACTAATTTTGGTAAAACTCAAACACAAAACATGGATACCTAATTCATGGTCCAAATTGCTTGATCATGAAAGAGAGTCAAAACAGACAGTGCTACCTTGGAATGGTATTTATAGCTTAGAAACGCTTCTTATTTTGAAGATTATCACACATCTTTATTCTAACATGTTAATTTTAGCCTAACTTATAACTGGAATGAAAATTAGTTCTACAATTTATGATCAGAGACTGTTGCAAGAAAAAGTACAATGTAAAGTCCGTGGCATCGCATGTGTAACACATTCTGTTGGTTTCCTTTCCTTTCTACAAGCTTACTGTGCACTATATATAGTGTTATGTTGTATGGTTCTAACTGCTTGGTGGTTTTGGATGTAAGGTTCTTGATTATCATTCAATAAACACTTTCATTAAGAAGATATGAAATTGTTTTCAGCAGCACAAAATGAAAACCTGCAGCAGCTGCTGATGACTTGTAAAGTAGGCGCTTTTATATTTTTAAAAGCCGATTTGTCATGCTTTTGTCAAGCCGATGTGCAACGTCTAATATCTCATAATAAGGATTTTATGGCAAACAGGGCGTGCAAGATAAGTTTTAACTTAATTTCTGCCGATCATAGCTGGAGTCGGGAAGGTTAGTTTGACTAGTTCACATTGTTGCAAAATTAATTCCAATTCACATCCTTCGGTTACATTTAAACGATGGATGACAACACCATGGTGGAAAAAGTAATTAATAAGACTTTTATGCACAATATTAAGAATATGAATTTAGTCCACTCATTGTGTAACTGTCTACTAATCGTCAAAGATATCTTGCAAAATTTTAGACACAAATGTATCTGTGTTGCATTTTGTGTACCTTTCATTTACAGGAATAGTGATAGTCTATGCACACGTATTGCCATATATTCTCTTTTGCCTATCAATGCAATCATGATAACAATTGAGAAAGCTTTTAAAGTTAGGTTAATTTAAGCCACTACCAAACTGCAGAAGATCATTGAGTGGTAGTGTTTTAAAAGGGGACGAATCATCAATTGCAATTTCCTCATCACGGTGATTCTAATAAGGGCATGCTAGCACATTTAATGACAATTTACCATATTTTGCCTTTTTAAAATTGTTACTGGTGATAAACTCTTTCAGTTTAGTACAGTCAGAAAAATACACACATGGGAATTTTTGCTTCATCGTTGTACTTGTAGCCACAATTTTCGTCGACTGAAGCCATTAACGCAACCACGAAAAGAAAAGTCATACGGCTTCAGTTTGTCATAACCATCAGATTGCCATACGAAATTTGGTCCAGGGAAAACTATACTACTCCTATGCAAACGACACTTTTTTCGTAATTTAACACCGACA